GGTTCTCTGGAACCTGGCCTAACCGAAGTCTCCTCTCTTCCTCCAGCTCACGCCGTCGTGGCCTGAGAGAAGAAGGCAGTAACGCCAGCTCCTCCCATAAAAAAGTGGGAGCTGTCCAAGACCAGCCTTACCTGTGACACTGTGCCCTAGGGCCACCTGTCTGCGTTTCCTCCTTGGATTGGATCCAGGGAGAATGTGACTTAATTTTATTACAAATACATCGAACTCCAGGATCATTTCTGTGTCTACTTTTTTTTTTTTTGAGACAGAGTCTCACTTTGTTGCCCGGGCTAGAGTGAGTGCCGTGGCGTCAGCCTAGCTCACAGCAACCTCAATCTCCTGGGCTCAAGCAATCCTCCTGCCTCAGCCTCCCAAGTAGCTGGGACTACAGCATGCGCCACCATGCCCGGCTAATTTTCTATATATATTAGTTGGCCAATTAATCTTTCTATTTATAGTAGAGATGGGTCTTGCTCTCTGCTCGGGCTGGTTTCGAACTCCTGACCTCAAGCAATCCGCCTGCCTCAGCCTCCCAGAGTGCTAGGATTAGAGGCGTGAGCCACCGCGCCCGGCCTGTGTCTACTTTTTAAGTGACACTCAGCTTACTTGGATTTTGGGGTGAAGCCAGTGCCGAGTCTCCGAACTCTGTCTGCACTCCAGGGGCTGGAAAGACACCGTCCCTGGGTGCAGAGTCAGGTGACGTGGCACACAGGCGCGGGAGAGGGCGCTGTCCCTCCCCTGAGGGCCTGGCTCTGCCCTGAGAGCGGTGGGAATGGGTGCCCCTCCCAGGAGTTTGGGTTCCAGGCTGTGTGTGGGTTTGGGGAACACTGACTGCAAAGGCAGGCGGAGTGGGGGGTGGGGGGGGTGCATAACAGCCCACTTGCAGGCTGCTCAATTCTGTCACTTGAGAGTGTCGGCCCTTGCCCACGTGGGCATTCAAGAGCAGCTTCCCACTGAGGCCCCTGCTAGATCTCGGCCACCCCCCACTCGACAGGGAACAGAGGACAGCCAGGGCCTCCCTGTGCCAGAAGCCTTTATTCGAGGGCCCTGGGAAGGAAGGTGGCTGGTCCCGGGGGAGGAATCTGCAATCCTCCTTTGGCAAGTTTTATGACTCTTAAATTAGGCGAGGGAGTGGGGTGGGAAAGAGGGCTGAGACCTGGGCCCTTCCTGCACAGGCGCCGTTCTGGGTTCTGGGTGCGTTACAGCCTTGATCTCCGCCCGTTCCTACGCATTTAGAGCTGGCCCTGAACCCAGGCAGCTGAGGAGTCTCTGCTCAACTGCTGTACACACATCCGTGGCTTCCTCAGTTTCTGTCCCCTGGCCCCAGACACCTCCCTCACCAAGTTCCTGAGCCTCAAAGGCAGGATGTTCCCCACCCGTCATCTCCTGGCAGTCCTGTGGGTCACCCTTGCCGTCTGTCTCCGTAGCTGTGCGCTACTGCCTCTACCCTGGGAACTGGGGAGCTTATTACAAAAAAAACCAACACTCCAAAAAGAGCTATAACCTATAACATTTTCAAGTAATGAAACACCATCAACTTGAAAATAAAACCCTTTTATTGAAAATCTGGACACCTGAATGCAGCCTCACAGGAAACTTGCTGGGGGGAGGGGCAGGGCAGGGAGGGTGCTGGCAAACACTTGTTTTAGTGCTGAGGGACATTGATTTGTCTTGCGTCCTGCTGGCAGTTGGACTCTCTGCTCCTCCCGATGGCAGAATTGTGAATGAGATATTTATTTTCAAGAATAAAATACTGCTGACAGATTAGATAGAAAGCCTGTTTTTTGGGGGCAGGGGGTGTTTTAAAGATGGGGTCTTGCTATGTTGCCCAGGCTGGTCTGGCACTCCTGGCCCCCAAATGATCCTCCTACCTCAGCCTCCTGAGTAGCTGGGACTACGGGCTGGAGCCAGCGTGTGCCCAGCTAAAAAGCCAGAAAGCCTGTTATATGTGCCTACCGTGTGCTAGAGGGAAGAGAAAGCCCAGAGGCTGCCTTTGCATGATCTTTTTCCTGGAGGAGATCAGAATGATACCCAGACCTTTCTGGGATCCGTGAGGACTAAATAAGGCAGTGAGGAGGGGTGATCATATCCAGGTGAGAGGGACAGAAACCGGAATGGAAGCCAGAAACTGGACATTTCACCCGTTTATTTACTCACTAAATACTAAGAGCCTATGCTATGAGTCAGGAACCACGTGTCAGGCAGACACTGGGGCTACAGCAAGGAGCAACAGAGCACCCCTGTCTTCCCCCAGACGGCATTCCGGTGGGGACTCGGACAATAAACCAATAAGTAAATATTAAACATATAATCTGCCAGGGGACTTAAAAGCAGCATCACAGTCGGGCGCGGTGGCTCATGGCTGTAACCCTAGCACTCTGGGAGGCGAAGGTGGGAGGATCACTTGAGGTCAGGAGTTTGAGACCAGCCTGAGCAACATAGTGGAAACTCCGGTCTATACTAAAAATAGAAAAATTAGCCAAGTGTGGTTGTGGTGTGGTGGCGTAGTCCCAGCTACTCGGGAGGCTGAGGCAGGAGGATCGCTTGAGCCCAGGAGTTTGAGGTTGCTGTGAGCTATGGTGACGCCACGGCGCTCCAGCCTGGGCGGCAGAGTGAGACCCGGACTCTCAAAGAGCAGCCGGAGAAGGGAGGCTGTAGGGAGGGCTCCACCGGCGTGGGTGCCGTATTAGACAGGACCATTAGGCAGCGACATTTGCGGCAGTGTGCACGGGGAACGTGAAGTAGTGCAAGTGGACACTGACAACGCGGACGTTTCTAACTTTAAGCAGGCTCCATGCCCTTCGACTGACTTTGTAGCTGGGGAAAGCGGGGGAAGGGCCTCATATTCTATTTCTCCTCGTATTCGGACATTTACGGTAACACATAGCCCCGGGCGCGGCTGGAGCCGGGGGCGTGGCGCCGGCCCCCCGGCTTGCGCGTGCGCGTGCGCAGGGATAAGAGCGCGGCGGGGACTGCGCGTGGCTGGCGGAGCGGAGGGGCGGCTCGACTAGCGGCTGGATGGCGCTGGGCGGAGCGCCGGGGACGGCGGCCCTGGGCCTGGCGCTGCGGCTGCTGCTCGGCCTCGCCGTAGCCCTGGAGGCCGCCCCGACCCGGTTCCCGACCCGGACCTCGGCCCAGGCCGCAGGTGAGTGAGCCCCCCTGCTGCGCGCGCCCCCGCCCCTCCGGCGGCTCCGTCCCGCCCCGCGCGCCCGCGGCCCCTCGCCATTGGCTGCGCCGCACGTCCGTCTCAGGCACTCCCCCAACACGTGCATCTGGATTTAGTACCTTGCACCGAGTTGGATGTTGGCGCTCGGGAGTCCCGAGTGGGGGACCCTCCGCTTGGGTACTGCCACCTGCTTTAACTGGCCTGCCCCGGCCCTGCGCACACACCCACACCTGCTGTGCTTTGTCGCGCCCCCATCGTCACCTCCAAGCCGCCGGTTAGGCCAGCGTGGTCGGGAAGGCTTATAGCAGCAGCAGGCTCAGGTTGTCTGACCTCTAACCACGCAGGGCCGGTCACCTGGCGCCTCCTGCCCCTGTGCCTTGAAACCCTCGCTCCCAGGCCTGTGGTCGTTATCTCGGGGCGCCCTCCCCATCCCTCCTCCTTTTCCTCCAGCCTTAGGCCCTTGGAGGTGCTTGGGGTCACAAGCTAAATATATTCTCATGGGCATATTTGCCCTAGCTAAGTGGCGTGGGTGGCCTGGGGATAGAGGTGCCCTCTTTGAGGTCCCCACTGGCAGCTAGGAGTGTTGGAGCGGCCTCCCTGTGCCCACAGATACCCCCGACTTTCAGCTCCAGCTCAAGTTCACACACTTTAGCCAGCCCCTCTGTGTATTCCTCTTTTTTTTTTTTTTTTTTTTGAGACAGTCTCGCTTTGTTGCCCAGGCTAGAGTGAGTGCCGTGGCGTCAGCCTAGCTCACAGCAACCTCAAACTCCTGGGCTCAAGCGATCCTCCTGCCTCAGCCTCCCGAGTGGACTACAGGCATGCGCCACCATGCCCTGCTGATTTTTTTCTATATATTAGTTGGCCAATTAATTTTTTCTATTTATAATAGAGACGGGGCCTCGCTCTTGCTCAGGTTGGTTTTGTGTGTATTCATCTTAGTAACTGGTCCCCGACTCGCCCCGAAGTCCCTGACTTTGCAGGCTAAACATTCCCGGCTCTTTCAAGGAGGGAGGGTTCACGTGAACCACGCACAAAACTCTTTATGCACAAGTGGTTTCCTTCCTGCAGGATGCTGAGGTAGGGGCTCCTAGCACGCACCTTTTATGGATGACGAACCAAGGCTGGGAAGAGAAGTCACTGGTCACTCCAACTTCTCCCTGAGCCACTGCCCCATGAGCCAGGGTCTGTGCCCTGCTCTGCTGCCTGCTTTACAGAGGGACATACACACACTTGCAGGCCAGGGAGGGGGGGACAGAGGTGTCAGGGCCATGGGTGGCCGGGCCTGGAGAGGAAGCCACGCCTGGAGGCTGCCAGACCCCCATGGGCAGGGAAGGAAGCTGGCTCCGGGTTGTCCACGGCTCTTCCGGGCTCTGCAGAGCTTAGGGACGGTGTGGCTCATAGGTACAGTTGGGCCTGAAGGCCCGGGTTGGCTGGATGTGGGTGTTGGGGGTTGGAGGCCCAGGGCCAAAGGGCCCAGACAGAGCAAAGCCAAGCCACAGTTGGATATTCGCCACCCACCTTGCACACCCCCAGAAGGAAGCCCTAAAGGCCACTCGTTTCCTCTGTCCTCCGATTCCTTCCTCCCGCTGGCCCAGGATTCAGGCCACTCTGTGCCCCTCCAGATTGGCCAACAGCCTGAGTCTCTCTGCTCAGAGTCCAGGAAGTCTCAGATCTTATCTGGACTCGGCTTGGACCATTGTGTGACCTGTGTCCACTTATTGCCAGGCACTGCCCTGGGCTTAGGGCGCCAGGTCGCAGCCCTGACCTCCACTGAGGGTCGGGTGTGTGGGAGTACAGGTGCTGCTGGCTGTTGGTTCAGGGATTGTCGTTAGACATGGCAGGCAGAGTGTCCTGGGTTTCTGAGAGGGACCTAGGAAGGGCCCCTCCCAGGAAGTAAGCTGGAATCTGAAGGCTGAGCAGGAAAACGGGGCACAGAGTGGTGGGAGGGAAGAGCAGGTGTCCTCTGGTGTCCCAGTGGAGGTCGGGGCCTTGGGATTGGGGGTCTGGGGAAGAGGTGGTGACGCATTCAGGATGGGGAACGTGGTCAGCTATGGGGGGAACGCAGGAGGTGAAGGGACAGGGCTTGGTGGCTGAGCAGGTTCTCTGTCTAGGGCCTTGCTTTCCCCTTCACTAAGCAGGTGAGATAGAACAGGCCCCGCTGACTTTGACAATGAACCTGACTCAGAGCCCTTTGGGAAGTGGCCCCGCCCCTAGTAACGAACTTAAACATAACCTTGTAGCTTGGAGGTCACCGGGGTAGATCCTCTTTCTACTTGGAGCCTGGTGAAGACCCTGGGATCAGTGAGTCATGGGTTCGAACCCTGACGCTGCCGCTAGCCTCCTTTTAGCATCCTCCTCCCCAGCCTGGGGAGGCGATAATACCTGCCTGCTAGTGGCGAGGCTATGAACTGCTAGGCTCCAAACCCACAGGTAGTGGATGCTCAGCGACGGGTGGCTGCCAGTGTCGCTCCCGCGCCCTGGCCACCCGGGCTTCACTTGCGCGTATATCGCTCGCCCCCCGCGCAGGCTCGTGCCCTCCCGCCAACTTCCAGTGCCACACCAACGGCTTCTGCGTGCCCCTCACCTGGCGCTGCGACGGCGACTGGGACTGCAGTGACGGCAGCGACGAGGAGGAGTGCAGTGAGTGGCCACGCCCCTGGGTGGGGCTTAGAAGGGCGGAGCTTGAGGCTGGGCGGGGCTTGGGAAGGCGGGGCCTCGTGGGGGCGGGACTTGCATGGCAGGATGGGGGTGTCTGGGAGTCTTGCACGTAAGAAGTAAGGTCTAGGCCGGGCGCGGTGGCTCACGCCTGTAATCCTAGCACTCTGGGAGGCCCAGGCGGGCGGATTGCTCAAGGTCACGAGTTCAAAACCAGCCTGAGCAAGAGTGAGACCCCGTCTCTACTATAAAATAGAAAGAAATTAATTGGCCAACTAATATATATAGAAAAAATCAGCCGAGCATGGTGGCGCATGCCTGTAGTCCCAGCTACTCCGGAGGCTGAGGCAGGAGGATCGCTTGAGCCCAGGAGTTTGAGGTTGCTGTGAGCTAGGCTGACGCCACGGCACTCACTCTAGCCTGGGCAACAAAGTGAGACTCTGTCTCAAAAAAAAAAAAAAAAAAAAAGAAGTAAGGTCTAAGGTGGGCTTGTAGGGAGATAGAGGTAGTGGGGTCTTGGGTGGGGGGCCTGCAGGGAGGCCAGTCCTTAGAAGGCGGAGCTCACAGGAGCAGGGAGCGGGGCCTTGGGAAGGGCAGACTTTCCCAGGCCAGGTGTTCTTAGAAGGCAGGGCTTGCAGGGTACTGGGGTCTTGGGTAGTACACGGGCCACTCTGGGTGGGCGTTTGGGACCTGACCGACCCTGTGCCCCAGGGATCGAGCCGTGTGCCCAGAGCAGGCACTGCCCACCGCCTGCTGGCCGCCCCTGCTCCTGCGATGGCATCGGCAATTGCACCGACGAGGAGCTCCGCAACTGCAGCCGCCCGGCCTGCCCAGCGGGCGAGCAGCCTTGCGCGCAGGGCGACACCTGCATCCCCCGCACGTGGCACTGCGACGGCCACCCGGACTGTCCCGACTTGAGTGACGAGCTTGGCTGTGGTGTGTGCGCCTGTGGGGGTGGGGAGGACCGGTGGGTAGAGGAGGGCACCTGCCAGGGTGTGACCAGGCCGGGGTCTGTGGGAGCTGGAAGACGTTAGTAAGGGCAGCAGTTCTCACCAGCTTTACCCAGCCTGGGATGGAGGGTGAACACCAGGGGTTCCCCTGGGCACCCCTGTGCCTCCCTCCCCGGTCTCAGTGCCCCTCCTCAATGACTGAATGCCTGGCCTTATTGCAGGACCCAAGGAGACCTTCCAGGAAGGGAATGCCACAACCACGTGGACCCCGGTGACCCCAGAGAGTGTCACCTCTCTCGGGAATGCCACAGTCTACTCCATCTGGGACCAGTTTGGAAACCCAAGTACCTATGGGGTTATCATAGCTGCCAGTAAGTCCGACCGACTCTCCCATGCCCGGGGCAATTCCCATCTCTCCGTATTTGGAGCTCCTGCCTCCGTCCTACCTACCTTTCTGTCTGTCTGTCTCCCACAGTGATGCTGATCATGACCCTGGTCACTGCCGCCCTCCTGGTGCTGTGCTGGCTCCAAGCCCAGGGGCGCCTGCCACCGCCAGGGCTGCTGGTGGCCGTGAAGGAGTCTCTGCTGCCGTTGGGACGGAAGACCTCGCTGGTCTGAGGACACACACTTGCCACCGCGTCACCCCGGTCCCGAGTGCAGACAAGCCAGGGGACAGCAGAGACGGGGACATGCACTCAGCTGCCGGCGCACCAGCCCTCCCGGGCTCTACTTGCCACGTGGAACCTCGAACCCGAGCGCCTGCAGATGCGGCCCTGGAGTTTGGGGGCTCCCCGGACACTCACCCTGGACTCGGCGAGCTCGGGTGGGAAACACGCCACAGCCAGAACCGAGGCCCTGGCCCCAGGCCGCTCCCAGATGGTGGGCGGCTCCGTGCCGAGACACTCCGGCTGCCCCGCCTAAGGGTGCTGATTAAAGTGGCTTCATCCTCTGCCCGCCTCTGGGCCTCTGTCTCCCTCGGCCGGGGCCGCCTGGGCCTCTGCCGCAGCCCTCCACGGTGGTGTGCCTAGCCCAGGGGCGGCGAGACTTGGGGACCCAGCCCTGGGCGCCTCCTTGGGCGCACTGCCCCTTACTTCCTGGGAGGAGGGGCAGGTGGCTTGGGTGGGAGTGGTCTGCATCAGCATCAGGCTTCTCGGAAGAAGAAAGAACGGAGCTCGGGGGCTGCCTCCTCCTTCCCCAGTTTGGGGGACCCCCATCCACCATGACCGTCCTCCTCGGTGAGATGGAAGCAGGGCATCCTGGGGTGGTCTTGGCTCCCCCCATTTGTTGATTTGAGAGACGGAGTCTTGCTCTTTTGCCCAGGCTGGAGTGCAGTGGTGCGATCACAGCTCACTGCAGCCTCGAACTCCCGGGCTCAAGTGATCCTCCCACCTCGGCCACCCAAAGTACTGAGATTACAGGCCTGTGCCACCACATCTGGCCTCCACCCTGGTTTAAAAGGTAGATCTTGGCCGGGCACAGTGCCTCACACCTGTAATTTGGGTTGCAGTTTGGGAGGCCAGGAGTTCAAGACCAGCCTGGGCAACATAGCAAGACCCCATCAGTACACAAAACTTTAAAAATTAGCTGGGCATGTTGGCGTGCGCTTATGATCCTGGCTATCTGGGAAGCTGAGGTGGGAGGATTGCTTGAGGCCAGGAGTTGGAGGCTGTCGTGAGCTATGATGATGCCACTGCACTCCAGTCTGAGTAACAGAGCAAGACCCTGTCTCTGGCTGGGTGAGGTGCCTCATGCCTGTAATCTCAGCACTCTGGGAGGCCGAGGTGGGTGGATCGCTTGAGCTCAAGAGTTTGAGACCAGGCCAGGCGCGGTGGCTCAAGCCTGTAATCCTAGCACTCTGGGAGGCCGAGGCGGGCGGATTGCTCGAGGTCAGGAGTTCGAAACCAACCTGAGCAAGAGCGAGACCCCTCAGCCAGTACTAGAAGTAAAAAAAAAAAAAAAAAAAAAGAGCGAGACCCCGTCTCTACTATAAATAGAAAGAAATTAATTGGCCAACTAATATATATAGAAAAAAATTAGCCGGGCATGGTGGCGCATGCCTGTAGTCCCAGCTACTCGGGAGGCTGAGGCAGGAGGATTGCTTGAGCCCAGGAGTTTGAGGTTGCTGTGAGCTAGGCTGATGCCATGGCACTCACTCTAGCCAGGGCAACAAAGTGAGACTCTGTCTCAAAAAAAAAAAAAGAGTTTGAGACCAGCCTGAGCAAGAGTGAGACCCCATCTCTACTAAAAAAAGAAATTAATTGGCCAACTAAAAATATATAGAAAAAATTAGCCAGGCATGGTGGCGCGTGCCTGTGGTCCCAGCTACCCGGGAGGCTGAGGAGGGAGGATCGCTTGAGGCCAGGAGTTTCCGACCAGCTTGAGCAAAAGCGAGACCCCGTCTCTATAAAAAACAGAAAAATTAGCCGGGTGTGGTAGCTGTACCTGCATTCCTAGCTACTCAGGAGGCTGAGGCAGGAGGATCACTTGAGCCCAGGAGGTTTTATTTCTAGAGTACTGTGGTGTCAGCCTAGCTCACAGCAACCTCAAACTCCTGGCCTCAAGCTATCCTCCCTCCTCAGCCTCCCGGGTTTTTAATTTGGTTTTCTATTTCTAGTCGTTTGGCTAATTTCTTTCTATTTTTATAGTAGAGACAGGATCTCACTCTTGCTAAGGCTGGTCTCGAATTCCTGACCTCAAGCAATCCTCCTGCCTCGGCCTCCCAGAGTGCTAGGATTACAGGCATGAGCCACCACGCCCGGCCGAGCCCTGGAGTTTTAAGGTTGCAGTGAGCTATCATGATGCCACTACACTCCAGCCCTGGTCACAAAGCAAGAAGACCCTGTCTCAAAAAGGAAATATAGTTAACGTAACTTTGACTTCTGGGTAATGGGGTAAAGGTCTCTGACCCTCAGTTTTCTCATCTCTGAATGGGGTGGCAAGACCCCAGCAGCCTCCTTGCAGGGGGTGGGGGGTGACCTCCTGGGCACCCTGCAGGGTCTTGGGGCTGCAGTGTCTGGCAGGCGGCGAGCTGGCCCCAGATGACGAGATGGCGGTTGGGAAGAGAAGGAGCTGGTGCACCAGGAGGGCTTCCTGGAGGTGGTGAGGCTCAGATCTGGGACTCTGTCCCCCATGGGAGAAGTTGGACGCAGCGTGGTTTGGAGCCTGGGCCTCGGGTCGTGTGTTGGGGGCAGGTCCTCTGAGGCGGGAGTTGAGGCCGCAACCAGGATGGAGGGTCCTTGACCCAGGGCTCAGTGGTTGGAGACCGGAGCCTGTCGCCTCCTCCCCGAGGTGGGCCTGCTGGGTGCTTTCTGCCCGTGCTGGGCCAACGCGTTGTCCTGCCCGAGACACGGAGCCTTGGAGGGCTGCTTCCAGTGGTAGGAAGAAGTTACACCAGACAGCGTAGGGCTTTGTTGTTTTTAAGTTTTTCTCCTTTAACGTACGTACGGTCAGGCACGTGTGTGTCAGGCTGCGGGACTGGCTTCAGGTGCCACGTGCCACGTACGTGGACTCCTGGGATTTGGACATTCTTGGGTGTCATTTGGGTTCTCGATGGAGCAAACCACCATGTGCTGGTGGCTCCAGACACCTGTCTTATTCTCTCGTAGTGTCAGGTTGCCCAGGCCGGAGTGCAGTGGCGCGATCACAGCTCACTGCAGCCTCGAACTTGTGGGCTCTGGCGATCCTCCTGCCTCAGCCTCCTGAGTAGCTGGGACTACAGTCATGCGCCACCACGCCTGGTTAATTTTTTCTATTTTTTTTAGAGATGGGGTCTTGCTATGTTGCCCAGGCTGGTCTCGAACTCCTGGTCTCTAGTGATCTTCCTGCCTTGGCCCCCCAGGGTGCTGGGATCACAGGCGTGAGTCACTGTGCCCGGCCTTTGCTGGCAGTTCTTTTGTTCCACGTGACGGTGGCTGCTATGATCTGGAGGCCGGGCTGGCTGGACATTGTAGTGCGAATGTCTCTGTCATGTCTGGGCCCTACTGGAGACGGGGTGGGGGTCGAGGGGAGGGAAACTGGGACAGCTGGGGCTCTCCGCGTGGCCTCTGGGGTAGCATGACCGCATTCCACCGTGACTCGGGGTTTTCCAAAGTGCAAAGTCCCGGCTGCCGGACCAGCACCGCTTCTGCTGGTGGGTTCAGCGGAGCCCAGGTCAGCCCACGTCCTGTTTGCGTGTGTTCCTGGGGTGGGGGGGCACATAAGGGTGTGAACACCCAGAGGTGGGGTTCACTGGGGCCCTCCTGGCACTGGAGCCACCACTGATGTGACCAGAGGGCGCAAGCCAGCCTCGAATGGGGCAGGTTGGGGTTGGGGGCTCCCTGTGCACTCGAGCCTACTGACTCACCTGGGCAGGCGACTTTGTTTTTCCTCCACCTTTGTCACCTGTGCGCCGGGGCGGTCTCAGGTACAAATGACTTGTCATGCATGAGCACGCTGGGATCTCAGCTGTCTTTGTTCCATCAAGCAGGGTCACTTTGTGCTGCCAGCCACCACCCCCTTCTGTCCCCAGACAGCCAGCTTGGCCACTCGTTTCCAGGGAGTTCCAGGTTCAAAAGGGACTGGGGAGGGAGGGGGTGGGAGGGTGCCTCAGAGAGGGGGACAGAGCCCAGGACTTTCTGCCCCTGGAGCCCAGACCTGAAGGGGTTCCCTTCCCAGTACCCAGACGCCAGCCCCCCAGCATGCTCACGCCCCCTCCTCTTGTCCTCCTGGCCGGGGAATCTGCCACCTTTTTTCTCTCTGCCCCATTCCGATCCCTTGCCTTTGCCAGGAAGGGTGGCTCCGCATCTCAGCCCTAATGGGGCAGGGTCCCAGGGTCCCACGTGACTGGGGACCGTGGCCTGGAACCCCGAGGGAGGCGTGTTTGGGGAGCCCACGAGGACGTGGACCCAGTGGGTGCAGATCGCTGCACGGGCTCGAGTGGCCGGGAGGGGCGCGGGGCTGGGGGCTGGCGCGGGAAGGCGGAAGGGGACCAGGAGCCACGTGTGTGTTCTTGCCCAACTCCTGACATCCCACCTTTTTTTCCTTTTTATTGAGGAAAATTCAAAGAAGGTAAAATTAACCATTAACCATTTTAGAGCTGCAATCCGGTGGCAGTTAGCACATTCACAGTGTTATATAACCCCCACCTTTATCCAGTTCCAAAACGTTGTCGTAACCCCAAAAGGAAACTCCATTCCCACTAGCCGTCATTCCCTGACCCCCCAGCCCCTGGCAACCCTTGATCTGCTTTCTGTCGCTATGGATTTGCCTGTTCTGGACGTTTCCTATGAAAGGAATCACATACTACTTGGCCTTTTGTGTCTGGCCTTTTTCACTGAGCGTGATGTTATCAATGTTTGTCCCTGTTATCAATGTGTCGGTGATTCCTTCTCTCTCTCTCTTTCTCTTTTTTTCTCTTTTTGAGACAGGGTCTCAACTCTGTCACCCAGGCTGGAGTGCAGTGGTGGTGTCATAGCTCACTGCAGCCTCAAACTCCCAGGCTCAAGCGATCCTCCTGCCTCAGCCTCCCAAAGTGCTAGGATTACAGGCACGTGACTACGTGGTCCACAAATGGTGGTAGTAGCTGAGATCGCAGCAAAATTCCACTTCCTTCTGCCTCTTAGGGTCCCAGCTAGGTCTGAGAATTAAATTGACATAGGACAGATTAGCAGGAGAAAAGCACACACAGATCTATTTATTTATTAATTATTTAATTATTTTTTTTTTGAGACAGGGTCTCACTATGTGGCTCTAGGTAGAGTGTGGTGGCATCACCGTAGCTCACTTCAATGTAAGACTCCTGGGCCCAAGCGATCCTCCTCTGTCAGCCTCCTGAG